TCGGGTCTAGAAGAAACCTCAACAGAATGCATTGAACAGCCGTTTCGTTATATATATATATATATATATATATATATATATATATATATATATATATATATATATATATATATATATATATATATATATATATATATATATATATATATATATATATATATATATATATATATATTTCAATGGTCATATTACGTCGGTCTGGTTTACACTAAAGAAAAAAATAGATCTAGGGTTACACTTGATCAAAAAGTAGAAGTTGGTTCGATTCCCACCTGAGCCAAAGACACACACTAGCCGAAAGGTAGACGTAGGTCAGGATTACAATTGAGAAAAGATTGGCGTAGGCGCGTTTTACACTTGTCAGAAGTTAGGCGTAGGCCCATTCTCTATTTGAATCAACGGTAGCATTAGCCCGGGTTCCTACTTGAGTCAAAGATAGACATGACACCGGTTTACCCTTGTAAGGTTGGCATAAGTTCGGTCTCCAGTTGAGTCAAATTGGTCCGGTTTCCTCTTGAGTAAATCTTATTTGAAAATGTTGACATAGGCACAATTTCCTTTGGAGTCAAATGTAGACATGAGTCCTGTTTACAAGTGAATCCAAAGTAGGGTTCAAATGCCTACTAGCAACTTCTGGGATCGCTTTGAATGAAGCTATCTCAACGGAAAATTTTGAACGTTTGGAGGAAATATCAGAAAATCATTTTTGTACAATATGACTTATATTGATTTCCACCCTCGGAATGTGTTTTCTTTAATTAACACTGGGAGTGGAGACAACTAGAAATTCATTTAAAAATCGAATTCCCTGTGCATTTTCTCATATCTAACGTAATTCTTAACACTGGTTGATAAGTATTTTAAATTAACAAGGTGACCAGATGTAAGGGGTGATACGGTCACAGAAATTGTCCGAGAGCCATGACTGGATTCTCCTGCTTGTATGGCATAATGTCAGAGTCCTGTTGCCAGACATAGCGTCTTCCAGCACCTATCCTCTTGACCCACTTAAGTAGTACCTCATCAAAGCACGTAATGTAGGCCTCCGTGTTGAGTTTGATCCCTTATGGAAAGATGAATTAGTGATCACTCCAGACACCTTCGTAATCGCCATTCGACACATCCAACTCTTTCCGAAATCCTCACTGTCCTCAGACTGACACTCAAACATTCTGAAATGTTCGTATTGGAGCTTCCAGCGCGAATGCCAAGCAATACAGCATGGCGTTTCCAAATTTCTGGCGGAGTGAATTGCATTATGGTGCTCTTTTTCTGAGAGACGATGTCCAACTAACCCTACTATACTGCGCAGTCGACAAAATCAAAAACAACGCGCATGCGCAAAATTAAAAATATAAAATGGCGATAATTTAGCCATCGCACCCTGTATCTTGCCCAATTATAAATCTATCATTCGTCCGTGTACTGGATGTTGTTGCCACATCGGGTCTGGTCCTTCTGTTTTATAGCCATAGATTCTTAATAAAATCCAAAGAAGAATCAGTAACGTTAACGGCCCTGATCTGACATCTTGTTTTTAGTAACATTCCCACCGCTGTAACGTAGCTCCCGTGTAACTTTTCTGTAAACATTTCCACGGTAATTGTTCTGATGATATTTACTAGTTGGTACCAGGACTTCACGAATATAAGAGCAGTATTAGACTGGCAGATAGGAACCGTAAGTTCTATGTTAATAATTTCTTCACTCGCTTATGGATGTCTCTTTCGGCTTCCTGAGAATTTAAAAAGATTTGAATGCAGTGTCAATCGTAATATTCTTTCTTTTTGAATCCCTATTTCTTGAATTAGCCTCTCTGTTTCTTTCATTCTCCATGACCCCGTGTATCCTAGTGAGTCTTGCTCGGGGTGAAATGATTAAAAAAATGGACAGGATTTATTTTGTTCTAGTCCCAATTGTAAAAGTTCTCCCGGTCGCTACTCTGAAAGAGGTTGGGTAGATACATGACTTTTTTTCAGATTCTCACATCTAAGCAACTTTTCTGCACGGGAAAGAATACTTCTACTGTAATATGTGTCAACTGGGCGGAGAAGGATTTCCATATATTTCTGCCTTCACAGAACCGAATAACAATGTTACCAATCCCAATTGTCATTTTTGCATAAAAGTTAGACTACAAAACGACGCAGTGTCATTTGAAGGAGAGCGTGTGAAGAACTGGTAGAACCAAGGTTCTATTACTGTCTGGTTAATAGTCAAAGGTTAAATGTTCATGAAAATTCTTGATTTTTAACCATTACGTTCGAGTCAATTAGTATATTCTTTTTAAGATGGAAACATTTTAGAACAAACTGAAATAAAATAGTTTTCACTGCAAAGTTTCTTTTTAAATTATTTCTTAAAAGAGAAATATTTAAAACAAAGAAAAAGTGCTAATTAATATTAAAATGTTTAACAAAACCAAAAATCATCTTTAAAAAACGGTATGGAGATTTGTTTAGAAATAGGTGCACATCAATTTATATAGTGTGGGCGCACCAAAAAGAAAAAAATTTGACATCATATAAAATGGGAATATCTGAATCCAAGGCAAACGTAATTAAATAAGTTTCATGTTAAACAAAAAAAAGATTTATCTATCAGAATCCGAATAAGATATTAAAAAGGATGTAGGTTTCATAATCGATTTCACACCACCTGTGACACGACACACGTCAAGTCGGTAGTCCAGTTCCTGCCAAACACGCTGTAGCATATCTTGCGTAACATGCCTTTTTGATTCTAGGTTTGTACGAAGAGGGGGATATAGACATGTCCTTTCACATCGCCCCATAGAAAAAAATCACAAGGTGTCAAGTCAGTTGCACGCAGTGGCCATTACATTGCCATTAGCATTGTGCCCAGTACATTTTCATTATAACTGGTACGCACGATTCATCTTTCTGTTAGATTCTCCTTGAGATAGGTCCGCATTGAAGCGCTGGAGAATGCTACGCAAGACATGCTACAGCGTGTTTGGCAAGAACTAGACTACCGACTTAACGTTTGTCGTGTCACAGGTGGTGCGCCTATTGTACATTTGTGAAGCTTTGTGAAATCGATTATAAAATTTACATCCCTTTGAATATCTTGTTCGAATATTGACAAATAACGCTTTTTTTTTTGTTCAGCATGAAGCCTATTTAATTTGGTTTGCCTAGAACATCCAGTTATTCAGATATTTACATTTTAAATGATCTCAACTTTTGGGGTACACCCTGTACTTTTAACCACTGAAAGTTATCCATAATGTTATTATAGAATAGATTATAAGAGAAGTAAAAAAGGCCGAATTACTGAGAGCAACATACGACAGGGGATTGTGGAGGGCCAAGAATATTTGCGCTGTGAAGGGACATAGCATAGAGAGAGAGAGGAGAGAGAGAGAGAGAGAGAGAATACAATCTAGATTGTTTTGTTTGTTTAACTGTATATCAACTGCTTATGGGTCATTTAATGCCTAATTGTAATTTTCTTAGGAGGTTTGAAGTAATAAAAATGTGATATGTTATTCTACTTTCACAACTGAATACATGGTAGGTGATACTCAGCTTTTGTACATATACATGTTTGTGATCGTTAAAAAAACGGTGATATATATGTTTTATGTTATAGTTTTGTTGAAGTTATATTTTGGAATCTAGTTTGATTTCAAAAGAAATTATAAGATATTATACGGATTAATGGATTAGGAAAATATATGGATTAGGATATTATATGGATTAATGTCATGAATGAATTCTTTGATGTTGGTAGGTTGATTTTGCTTAGTGGCCTATCAACCTCGAGAGATTAGTTAATACCGAAATCTAAATATTTGGAACACAATTTTATGGCTTCGACTAAATATATTTTGAACGCAATTGCATGCCTTCTACTACAGATAAAATGTATTGTTGGTCATTTTGCTTTAACATGCATTGCTGGCCATTTTGCTATTATTAGGTATTGTTGGTAATTTTACTATAAAAATGCATTTTTATACATTCATAGTGTATTTCTTTTGTTTGGGCGTTCGATATTTGCCCATAGCTAAAACCCTAACAGGTGCTACCACCACGGGTCAGAATGGATCTGGGAACAATAGAAATTAAGAGTTGGTTGAACGTTCCTCAAAAGTTCCAATCTTCTGATCAGAGGCCTTGCTGTCGTATGTAGTTTATCGTCACACCTAGGACTACAAATCTGAGTGTGAAGGCATTTTTTCTCTTTCTTTCTTTCTTTCTTTCTTTCTTTCTTTCTTTCTTGCTGTCTTTCTTTTTGTATTTCTTTCTTTTTTGTCTTTCTTTCTTTCTTTCTTTTTGTCTTTCTTTCTTTCAATCTTGCTGACTTTCTTTCTTTCTTTCTTTCGTTTGTCTTTCTTTTTGTTGTCTTTCTTTCTTTCTTTCTTTCTTTTTTTCTTTCTTTCTTGCTGTCTTTCTTTTTGTCTTTCTTTCTTTCTTTCTTCCTTCCTTCCTTTCTTTCTTTCTTGCTGTCTTTCTTTTCTCTTTCTTTCTTTCTTTCTTTCTTTCTTTCTTTCTTTCTTTTTTGTCTTTCTTTGTTTCTTTCTTTTTGTCTATTTTCTTTCTTTTTTCTTTCTTTCTTGCTGTCTTTCTTTCTTTCTTTCTTTCTTGCTTGCTGTCTTTCTTTCTTTCTTGTTGTCTTTCTTTTTGTCTTCTTTCTTTCTTTCTTTCTTTCTTTCTTTCTTTCTTGTTGTCTTTCTTTTTGTCTTTCTTTATTTTCTTCTTTCTTTTTGTCTTTCTTTCTTTCTTTCTTTCTTTCTTTCTTTCACAATACATGTGTCTAATTGTTTTTCGTTTGATTTCAATTTATCTGTCCACGTCACCCACCACTTTCTCTCTGTCTATCCCCTCTATGAGTACTGTGCATGTCCGTGTTTTTGTTTGTCTCTCTTTCTTTCTCTCTCTGTATACTCGTGTGTGTGTGTGTGTGTGTGTGTGTGTGTGTGTGTGTGTGTGTGTGTCTGTGAGTGTTTGAAAATATGTACATCTGTTGTCTCTATGTATTTGTCTCTCTTTCCTTACGTGTATGCAAGCGTTCGCCTATCCGTTAGTCTCTCTTTCTCTCTCCCTCGTCGTATTCACACTCCTATCTGTTTGTCTTTCTATTTTTCTGTTTATCCCTGTGTATGCCTTTTTATATTTGTCTCTTTGTCTTTCTGATAATATCTGTGTGTGTGCGGGGAGAGAGAGAGAGAGAGAGAGAGAGAGAGGTGGGGGTCATGCGTGCTTGAATTTTTCTATCTCTGCTCATTTGTGTATTACTGTCTGTTGTCTCTTCCTATATTTATGCGTGTTCGCTTATCAGTCAATCTGTCTGTCTCCCTTAAATATCTGGGAAGTTTTCTAATAATGGTTTATTCTTGCTGAACAGGGCCAATCTTTAGTAACTAGAAATTACCAGGCCCCCAACTGAAAAAATTTGTTAAACCCAAATATAGATTCTGGGATAAATATCCAGAAACAAGTGATCATCTTGTATCAGGTTGCAGAATGTTAGCACCCACTGAATATAAAACTCGGCATGATAGGGTGGGTCAATATCTGCACTGGAAAATATGCAACTTTTACGGGAAGAAAAACTGCAATAAACTGGTATGAACATCACACGAAACGGTTACAGGGATGAGACCTGTAACAATTTTATGTGATATAACAAGACATCCAGAGAGAACAATGAAAGATAATCACCAAGACATCGTGATCAAAAACCACAGAAAGAGAATGTACTTTCTTACTGACATGGTAATTCCTTCAGATTGTAATATATGTTTGAGGATCTTCAAACAACTATCAAAATATAATAATCTTGAAGTGGAAATCTAAAAAATATAGCACATGTAGATATCAATAATTCCAGTTGTAGTTAAAGCGCCTCGGATTGATTGGAAAAGGTCCCAATAAACTCACTGAAAGGATTCATGGTAGCCCAAACCTTGAACAAATACCAAAAATGATCATAAATAAAATTCACACCTTCGGAATGGATTTATCTACATAAATTGTGTGTTATCTTTTTATTTTATTTTATTTTTTTTTACAAAAATTGATTAGTGGAAAATGTCATGAAGTCGTTTCTGACCTTAGGTCTTTGGCTGGAACCCGGAAGCAAATGTTTATACAGCAGAAATCTAAGGAAATAAAATAATAATACTACTCCACCTCCTCCTCCTCCTCCTCCTCCTCCTCCTACTACTACTACTACTAATAATAATAATAATCCACAAATTAACCTTAAAAACAAACATGCATTATTTTCATTTTCATCTAATGCAAGTAACATGTTTTCTGTTTTTTTCCTCATAATTTTTTCCCCATTTGTACCTCACCCTATTCTAACTCTCACTCTATCCACACCAGAGGCACATCTAGAACTACCTCTGATATAGATACGTATTTATATTTATTTGCAATTTATTAGGGGTGATGCGTGCGTGAGCGTTTGTGCTGAATATCATATTTTTAAAATCTGGTTTGAATTAGTTGACTACTAATTAATAATAATAATATATACGCAGCATTATGCAACATTAAAAAAACTAAGAGGAGCTCTCAAATGGTTAAATTAATTAAAGCTGATTATACGACCTTTTAGTTTAGGCAAATATATATTCAGCTGCTATAAACAAATTTAATCACAACACAGTCAAACTTATCTTTAAGTTTCCTTCGCTCTTCCTCCTACCACATTTTTTTCCATTTCACATTCATACGGCTTCTGAATTTTATATTCTCTTATTCTCTCGTATATTTATTCGTTTAAATAGATATCAGAATAAGAGAATCATAACACCCCCCTCGTTGTTTAAGTCCTAGAATTAACATTTACTCAAGCTGATTTTTTATTCATCCATCACTTTTTATCAATATATTTTTAATATCTACTACGTAAATATTCACACAATCAGAGATTTCATTAATATCATAAATCTATGTATAATTGTAAAAACGTTTGATTCCATTAGTGAAGTTGAATTAAAAAGAATAAAACTTGTAATGCCAACGGATAATTCATAGTTAAAACAGATATATTTCGGAAATCTTTTCCAATCCTTGATCACTCTTGAGAAATAAATGAAATAATGACTAAGCTATATTGTATAAGTTATAAATTCAAATTAACAAAAAAAAAAAAAAAAAAAATCGATCAAATTGAATTCGCAAGACATGCGTAAGTTGAAAGCGTGAACATTATCCGTTGGAATTACAAGTTTTTATTCTTTAAAATCTATTTAGTTCAGAAATAATTTCCAAATGCAGAAACAAAAACAAATTCCAATTACGCTACCTACAACCACATCATGCTTCCATAGACCAAACAACTATGCCATAAAATTACATCAATAAATATTCTTTAAGCGCACCATTCCAACCATTAGAACTAAAGAAAATATACAAAAACGAAATAATATTTTAAAGAAAAATAAATAAATAAAATAAATAAGAATTAAAAGAAATTGAGGCAAAGAATGGGTTGTAAATTTTAACGCTTCAAAACAAAACTGCTTCCATTTAATCACCATAAAGAACATTTTCTGCGTGCCATCTACATGTCTGATGTTAACCTTAGGGACAGCAAATCTTTGCACCTTCTCGGGCTCACGTTTTCCTCTAACATGAAATGAAGTGATTATATTGAATCAGCTGCTAAGTATTCCGCTAGGAAAATTAGATCATTGTGTCATACCAAACAATTTTACTCGCCATAATCCATCTTGCATTTTTATAAATCTACCATTCGTCCATGCATAGAATATTGCAGTCATACCCGGTTTGGTGCTCCAAGATATCTCCAACTTCAAAAAAGGGTCTGCAATCTGGCATCTCGACTTCAGTCACTTTCTCACCGAAGTGACGTGACTTCCCTGGGATTCTTCCATAGCAGAAGGATCAGACCAAGTGTGACAGAAATATTCATTACAAAGACATACGGTAAAGTTATAAAGATGTAAGATAGATTCTAGCGAGAAAAATTCTCTCGTACGACACAGGAAATCGACTTTCTTGTAGCAGATGTAACAAAGGACTCGATATAATAATTCCAATTCATATCTAGTCCTGGGTATGACAATAAACTACATACGAGGTTTTGAGGAGCGTGGAACCACCTCTTAATTGATGGTGTTCCCAGATTCACCCTGGCCCGGGGTGGTAGCGCCATTTAACGTCGTAGCTATTGGCAAATAGTGAACTCCCCCCAAAAACAAAACTGTGAAAGTTTTAAAATCATTTTTATAGTAAAAATAATAGCAATAGATTTTTATATTAAAAAATTACTAACAATAGATATTTATTGTCGAATTGCCAATAATACATTTTAAACGCAAAATGTCAAACAATGCATTTTAGTTGTAGATGGAGGCATACAATTACGTTTAAAATATATTTAGTTGAAGCCATAAAATTGTTCTAAATATTTAGATTTCGGTATTAAATAATCCATAGAAAATGATATGCCGCTAAACAAAATTAAACAATTGTCAAAAGTGAGAAGGCGTTTTTCTCCTGAAAGTTAGCATCAGTAATGCTGATGGAAGACGGAATGTGTTTTCTAAGAGGTTTAAAAGGATTTGTGTTTTTTGTTTGTTTGTTATTTTTGTAATTACTTTATTGATCTATTTCTCCTTATGTCTGTTTAAATATATCTTTTCTTATCAATTCGACCATATTTTTTTGCCTTAGATATATTTTTCTATAGAAAGATATTGTGTTTCTGTCTATTAGAGGATATTTGTCGTCATGTCTACAAGAGGTTGCTGGTCGCTAAGATATCTACAAGATGTAGCTGGTAAAGATATATTTGTGTTTTCGAATAAAGAAACGGATACTCATTTTACACTATTTATATTTGAACTATTGTCCTTATTTTTCTTCATGAGGGCAATAGTCCTTGAGTTGCCAGAGGTATATCAAACCGCTGAGTTTGATATATGCTGCATGTCGACCTCTCTGCCTTCGGGCGGAGAGGACCCAGACGAGGCTCGTCTGGATAGGTAGGCAAACCCGACCCCGTTATCACGGAGTCTACGGGGAATTTTTGCCCGAGCGTACGGGCTCAGAACGTCCTACGTAAAAAAAAACACCGGCCTTGTTCCACATACTTCCTTGTGAGGAGGACTTTGGCAAATGCCGAGGACAATAATCCTAATATAAATAGTGCAAATATCAATACCTCCTCATCCCAGAAATTCTCACAGAAATTATCAAATTGTTACGGACCCAATGTCATACACTGTTGTAATGTAAGCAAAGAGTAGGTTACGATTAGGTTGGGGGAACACTTAACGGATTGCTCTCCCAACAACGACGATGGTAATAGGAAGAGACGGTAAAGAGGCGGTAACAAAGCTGGGAAACCGGAGCAACTTTAGAAACCCAATGACCATGGGACCGACTTCTCCGTGGCTTGCGGACTTCTGATTTTCCCGTTGCTTTTATTAGCATTAGGCATCTTACAAACACCCGGATCTTCACCAGTTTCCACTTAACTACTATATCACATCCAGGAAATAACCCGATACAAAATTTTACACGATTTTAAACTATTATAAATTATTATAATTAAAAATTTTTTTAATTTTTAAAAATTCTTGTAAAAATTCATTATTCATCGGAAAAATTTTATTTCTTCAGACAATAATGTCCTTAATATAACTTATTTACAAAAGCAATTAAAACTTTTCCAATTAAATAATTTCATGGTTTTATTAGACTTTTATTTTTCATTTCAGGCAGATTTTCAGTTAGAATGGTGCAAGTTTGAAAAAAAAATGATTAGGCAATTTAGATTCTCCAAGGTGTCCTACTTTTAACGAATAAAAATTCAAGAAATAGAAAGTTTTTTTGCAAAATTTCATGAAATTAAGTGCGGGGGTAACATATGTAAAAAATTACCAAAATTTTCTAAAAAAATGTTCACAAATAATTTCATTTATTTGTGAATAAGTCTTGAAAATTTCATTAAAGTCGGATAATTATTTTAATTTTTACAAGAATTTCCAAATTAACGGAAAAAAAGTCAATATTATTAGTTTGCCACCGCGATGACGTAAACAAACGAAATTTTAACTAAAATTTCGAACATTTTAGAAAGAATTAAAAAAATTCAAAAAATAATAAAAAAAATACTTTGGTCTTTTATCTTAATAATAACAAACATTTTGACGATGATACTTTATTTTTATTACGTTTGTGGCCTTTTTGATTACGCTAAAAAGTAAAGGTACCTAATATATTGCTCAACATTTCCAATATTTTCAGTTCATGAGTGGAATATAGTCTTTTCGAGAAATTATTTTCAGTATCTCAAACATCGTAATTTCTGTATCTATTTCTGAGATGAGGCATTGCTATTATTTACACTTTTTACATTCTTCGGACTATTGTCCTCATCTTTTTGTGCCACATTCACGACGTTTCGGTCGTTGTAAGCTCCGGACTTCTTCAGGATCTGTCTCTATTTCTGAGATTAGGCATTGCTATTATTTACACTCTTTACATTCTTCGGACTATTGCCACACCTTTTTCTTGCCATATTCACGACGTTTCGACCGTTTTACGTTCCGGCCTTCTTCAGATGATTGGAATTTCGAACTGAACCCTTTATTTCGTCCTCAAAGGCACATGGCCCAGTGGATAAAAGTGTTGGTTGGATTCACTGACTTGACCCAAAGAGTTGTGAGTCCAGTACCTGGCTACTGCAGTGGTGAACAAAACCTGGGAGAGTTGAAGGGAGATAACTGAGACATCTAAAAGCGACATGGCACGTGGAACTAGAATAATCTACTTCGGTGGATGAAATAAAGGGTTCAGTTCGAAATTCCAATCACCTGAAGAATGCCGGTGCGTACAACGGCCGAAGCGTCGTGAATATGGCAAATACAGATGAGGACAGCTGTCTGCAGTGAAGTATTGTAATTGTATGTATTTATTTATAAACATAATACTATATATTTTCATTATATTTTTTAAAAGAAGAAACTAATTTGTTTTTAAAACTGTTTATCTTACAGGAATGGAGTGTTTAGATTATCATTAAACAACCTGACATTTATAGAACATGCGGACTGGACGCCATCAGAAACGACACGTGACCTGTGTAGAAACAAAGGTCTTCCCAAGGTAGGTATTGCAACCCACACATGGAAAAATTGGAGAGAAAAAATGTTTTTCTCATTTTATACTTTTCCTACCTTTATTTTTTATTTTTCTCTTTTTACCTCTTTTTCTATCTGTCTCTCTTTCTTTCTTTATTATTCTCTCGTATTTTTTCTTTCGTATTTTTTTATTCCCTATTTCTAATTCTCTCTTTACGTTTTTGCTTATTCATTCTTTATTCGCTTTCTTTCTCTTCTCTTCTAACTTATTTTCTTTTTCCAGTTTATTCATTTTTTTTCTTTGCTCATTCTGTTTCTCTTTTTCTATTTCTTTCTCTCATCCTTTTATCGCTTTTTCTCTCTTTCCAAGAAAATGCTTTTCTTCTTTTTCTATTGTTATTTTCTTTCTTTTTTTTTGTATTTCCCTTTCTTTTTTTCTCCTCTTTCTCTTTTCTCTCTTTATAATCTAGATCTCTTTCTTTATTCAATCTTTTTTTTTTTTAATTCCTTATATTTTTATTTTTCTTCTCGATTCAGCATTTGTTCTTCACCCTATTTCCGTTCTTTCTCTCTTTTTAGAGAAAGGTTTTTTTTCCTCTTTCTGTTTTCCTTTATTCCTACACGTTTTCTTTTCTTTTATTCTTTCTTTTTCTCAATACTTCACATTCATTCTTCTTCTTCTTCTTCTTCTTCTTCTTCTTCTCTCTCTCTCTCTCTCTCTCATTCTTTAGTCTTTCCTTTTATTCTCTATGTCTCATTATTTTTTCTTTCTTTGCAACTCTTTTTGATCACTTTCTTTACTTTCTCTTTCTCATCATTTTCTCTCTCTTTCTCGTTCTTTATTTTATCTTTCTTTCTCTCTCTTTACATTTCTCACTTTTTCTCTCTGTGACTTTTTATCGCTCCTGCTTGTTATTGCTTTTCTCGCTCATGTTACTAGATGATAAAACAATGCATAATAAACAACCTTTGATTTCCTCCTTGTTTGTGCGAAACGCAGACGGAAAATGGCCGACCAATGTCTGTCAGATTCCCTTAACAGAATAATATCTGTTTATCAGGTTAATCTTAAAAGTAAGTACATGCCTCTAATTTTCTAATCCGTCAGTTTAACTGATTTTTTTTCTTTCTTCTTCACAGAATGAATGTGACAACTTTGTGAGAGTGTTAATTGTTCACAACGATAGGGTGTTGACATGTGGGACCAATGCTTACAGCCCAATGTGCTGCTGGCGAAACGTAAGTAAGAAAAACTTTCTTTTTCCGTCAGTTGTTTTTTTTTTTTTTTGCTGTATATTTCCGAAGATTCGTCCATAATAGCAGACTGCGTGCCGTGCGCCTTTCAGGAATTTGGCGGTCATGGCTCTCCAAAAATTACCGCTTGCGTATTTCTTAATAATTGTTGTCTTTTTGCTATCTCTCCTAAACTTTGTTCTACCATCCATTTATTCAAAGTAGCTAGGTACGTTATGCGTTGTTTCAATCTGTATCTCTTGCCTCGTCCTGGGTAAGACGATAAAATACAGCCGTCTCCTGGGTAAGATGATAAACTACATCCGTGTCCTGGGTAAGACGATGAACTACATCCAACAGCAAGGCCTCTGATCAGGAAGTTTTGAGGAGCACGGAACCACTTCTTAATGGCTGGTGTTCCCAGGTCCACCCTGCCCCGGGGTGGTAACGTCTGCTAGGGTCCCAGCTATGAGAATTTTCTCTTTCTTAACCTCCAAACTGGGGTCAAAACCATTATGAAAGTGTAAAAATAGGTTTTAATACCAGCAATACATTTTTGAAGAAAAAATATAAGCAGAAAGACATTTTTTTAAAAAATATATTACCAGTAATAAAAAATGTTGTCGGCATTAAATAACCCGTTGAGGTTGATATGCCGTAAAACAAACCGAACCAAACGAAGCCGCTTGCCTTTAACCTGCCCTTTGAGCATTACATTTTCCAGGCCTTCTTTCCTCGTTATGTGCCCTAAAAATTTCAACTGTACCTTTCTGATGTTAAGCATAAGGGTCTTTTTTGTCTTCATTTTCTCTAAAACTTGTTGTTGCTCACATGTTAAGGTAATGGTATTCTCAGCATCTTTCTGTAGAACCAAAATTCTGTTCCTTCAAGTCTCTTCTTAATCTTTGAGAAGACTGTCCAGCATCCACTGCCATATAGGAGCTAGATATTATGTGACAATTCAGAACACTTTCCGGGGGTGGGGGGAATTCTAATGAAATTTTTCTATTTCTTAATACATTGCATAGATTTTTGAAGGCATCTTTCGCTGTCCCAATGCGCCTCCGGATTTTTAAAACACTGTCTAGATATTTAAATTGTTGTACTTGTTTGATTTTGGTACAAAAATAGTTGTCCACCGTCTGTTAGTAACACACCAGTTGCGTATATTAATCCTGATATTGTCGTCGACGGCTCCCAGTCGTGTCCGAGTATCGGGTTCTGTCAATCTTTTAAGTCCTATCTTCACGGTTGATGTTTAAGTTTGACATGACTTGCGAGTCTCAGTCGGTGGTGGAATAGTCGCGGACAGTGCTCACAGGAGGACGGGAGTACGGCTTCGTTCACAGCGCTCTCTTCTCCTTCGTCGCCTTCATGAATTCTCCGTCTTCATTTCCTCGAAGTCCTCGATGCCATCGCGTATTGATCTCCTCCACGTCGTTCGGTCCCTGGCAGTTTCTTCCCACGAGGACGAGCTGATGTTTGTAAGTGTCAGGGTGCGCTTTAGTTGGTCCTTGTAGCGCATTTTGGGTGCTCCTCGTGGTCTGGTCCTAATGGCCAGCTCGCCATATAGAATTTTCTTGGGGAGCCTGGAAGGATCCATCCTGTGGACGTGCCCTGCCCAGCGGAGGTGGTGTTAGATGATAGTGGCCTCGACGCTGCTCATTGAGGCTCTGTCTAGCACTTCTGTGTTGGTGGTGTAGCTCTCCCAAGAGATGTTAAGGATTTGCCTTAGTTTCAGTTGCTGGAAGCGTTCTAGCATTTTTACCTCGCTTCTATATAGGGTCCATGTTTCGCAAGCGTATAAAAGGGTGGAGAGGACTACTGCCCGGAAGACCATGATGTTGGTGGCCATCGTCAGTGCGTGGTTTTTAAATATGCGGCAGTTGAGTCGGACAAAGGCGGAGTGGGCTGCCCTGATTCTATTCTCCACGTCCTTTCTGCATGTGGCTGTTGATGTCAGAATGCTCCCCAGATACGAGAAGTGGTCTACTTGCTCCAGCGGTTGGCCATTGACATGATATCACAAGTAGTATAATTTATGATATAGGGAAAATAGAGAAAGAAACAATAGACTTTATGGCACTAGGTAGAAATCTTTTGATAGTAGAGTGCGTTCCAACATTATATGCAAGTAATATTTCTTATATTAACCTTTGGTTGACAGCAGTTTTACTAAAATCATTTTTAAACGAATTTTAAATGAATTTTTGACAAAAGGTTAGAAGCATTAATAAGCGCCATACATTTTGTCAAATGGTGTGCTATGTAAGGTGGTATTAACCATTTGGCTGATATCGCTTCTTTTCTCCCATTCTAAACTATATGCAACATGGGACGTCATACATCCCAAATGTGACCTTTAATATGAATCTATAACCGGAAAACCACAACAGCCGGTTTGTTGTCACATGTTCCCAAAAGTTTTTTTTTAAATTTATTATTTTATTCTCTTTTGGTCTATTGGATTGTCACTTTGAAGACGTCCCTTCAACGATCTTATTGCTGGTTATACGACACGGAACGCTTAAGATTGAGACAAAATCAAGTACCACTTCCTTTTTATGTGGTTATCGCAATCATAGTGTCGGAGAATAACGATAAAAATAGGTTCTATATTCTTATGCTGTGCAAATAAACACATGGATACATTTTCACTCAAATTTCTTTTTGATTTTTATTTGTTTGAAATTGCTGATAAATGTTTGTGATTTCGATGGTTGGGTTTAGAATAAATTATTTTTTTTGTTTCCTCTGTAGGCCAAATCTCTAAAACAAGTCTACCAGGAATTAAACGGGAAGCAAAAATGCCCGTACAACCCTCGTCAAAATTCAACGGCAGTTATGACCAAAGATGGAAATCTCTACACGGGCACGGTGATGGACATTCAGGCTCGGGACCATGCTATATCTCGAGTTATGGGACCGTTGCCGATTCTGCGAACGTTGAGAAGCAATTCTAAATGGCTAAATGGTACGTTGGTGATTACATCTCCATCTATTAAAAACAAGAAAATTCTGAAATGTAAAAACGTTGAATAATTTTCCTCTTCATGCTGTTTTTTTAGTATATTTTTTGGACTGAATACACTCCGACAGTTAAAATATTATAATGAACAAATTAAGAAATATATGCCCTAAAGTGGCACATTATCTTGATCTATTATTATTATTATTATTATTATTATTAAAAATGATTGACGTCGCGTATATATTTGTGCATAAGCCGACTTAATATATAATGCGATGCCTGAATTTTTATTACATTTTTAGAACTGAATACACTCCGACCGTTAAAATAGTATAATGAACGAATTGAGAAATATATGCCCTTAACTTGCATATTATCTTGATTTATTATTATTATTAAAAAAAAAAAAAAGATTGACGTCGCGTATATACTTGTAAAATATATGTAAAATATAGGTTTTAATAGCAGCAGTAAATTTTTGGAAAAATTATTACCAGCAATATGTATTTTTTTAAATTACCAGAAATACATTTTTGAAAAGAAAAGAAAAAAAAATTAGCAGCAATACATTTTTGAATAGAAAAAAAATTACCACCAATACATTTTTGAAAAAAAGAGTATTACCAGAAATAAACATCTTGTCGGCATTAAATAATTCATTGAGGTTAATAAACCGTAAAACAAACCAAACCTAGGTACCATAGAGGAGAGTGATATTCATTTGTAATTATTTACAAAATGTGGCACAAGGCCAAAATCGGAAATGGGTGAAAAAAGGCAATCTTCATCTGTCTTAACTTTAAACTTATCAAGCCACAAACACTGACCCAAACATACCAAAATATTCCTAAAACCAAAACAATGCATTCTTACCTTTCTTAATACATTGTCTTTATGAATGTTCTAATTAGTCCCTATATATATAATTCATTGTCTATGGAAGGTGGTGAATAAAACAACAATTTAAAAACTAGCCCCATAGAGGAGAGTTCATCAGAAAAATTACCATGAAAATATTTATAGAAAAGGCAGAGGGAAACTACATTACAGCAGTGTGGAAGTGACTGAAAACGAGATGCCAGGTCAGAACAAAAAAAATTGCAATTCTTCTTTTTGGATTTTATCAAGATGAAAATATTTATAGAAAAGGCAGAGGGAAACTACATTACAGCAGTGTGGAAGTGACTGAAAACGAGATGCCAGGTCAGAACAAAAAAATTGCAATTCTTCTTTTGGATTTTATCAAGATGAAAATATTTATAGAAAAGGCAGAGGAAACTACATTACAGCAGTGTGGAAGTGACTGAAAACGAGATGCCAGGTCAGAACAAATAAAATTGCAATTCTTCTTTTGGGATTTTATCAAGATGAAAATATTTATAGAAAAGGCAGAGGGAAACTACATTACAGCAGTGTGGAAGTGACTGAAAACGAAATGCCAGGCCAGAACAAATAAAATTGCAATTCTTCTTTTTGGATTTTATCAAGATGAAAATATTTATAGAAAAGGCAGAGGGAAACTACATTACAGCAGTGTGGAAGTGACTGAAAACGAGATGCCAGGTCAGAACAAATAAAATTGCAATTCTTCTTTTTGGATTTTATCAAGAATCTCTAAATATATATATCAGTATTGTGCGTTGAGCGCAAGGTCAGATGTGGCAGCAGTATTTAAAGCAAAGACGAATAATAGACTTATAAATATGTAAAATAGATTCTGGAGAGATAAAAAAATAGCACGACACAGGGAATCAACTTTTATAATAGTAGACCTATCAAATGATTTAATATAACCTTTTTACATCATGTCGGCGGGAAACGTTTGTCTGACAAGGCGCAATGAATCACTCTATTGGAGGTTAGCATCAGCCATGCTGATAGAAGATAAATCAGGTTCTCTCAGACGATTAAACGACAGCAATTTCGTTTTGGAGGCGTTAAAATTAACATGCCGTTCCTTGCCCTAGTTAACAACAGAAAGTAGATCGTTATAAAAATGCCAATACTCTATGTGTTTGTTGTTCCTTTCTTAATTTGATAATATTCATTACAGGTGTGTTCAAATATTTATTTATTTTATTATTGTTAATTTTATTTATTTATTTATTCTTTATATCTAGAACCGAATTTTGTGTCATCGTACGAAATAGATAGTTACATCTATTTCTTCTTCCGTGAAACGGCAGTAGAACATATCAATTGTGGAAAAGTAAGTAAAGACATATGGTTTGATTTATTCAGTTATTTATTTGATGTTGTTAACTTCGAGTAGATGGAGCTGGTAAGCCCTGGAAGACAGTCCTTCAAGATCAGTGGTTCTTAACCTGTTTTGTGTCATGGACACCTTGAGTCACGGACCTCCATAAGAATTAGTACGTCATAGACAGACAGCCGAGCAGATACTCAGTCTGATTGAGTTTTTATAACAGTTGTACGTACATTTCTCCATACCGCAACCTCTTGCATACTCATCACTTTTCAACCAGTCACACTTGAAAGAAATGTGATCAGTTAATCCTTACATGTATATGAAAAGATAATCCGTGATAAACCATGGAAAATGGGAAATATATATTGTTCTTATGGAGTGGTAAAAGATGGCGGTAGTGAAAAGAATTGATGATACACGTTTAAATGATAAATATAGATCCAACAGTGTCAAGAGACGCCTCCCTGGAAGTAATGACTGGATGCGTTTTCATTCCAACAGTAACAGGAGGCATTTTCTTTTATGTTTTTCAACGGGAAACCGTTGATTGGGACAAGGGCTTTATAGCGAATATAAATTTTAATTTTTCTCTAATACTCACGGACCCCCTGAAACTCATGAACCCCAGGTTAAGAATCCCTGATCTAGGGAAAGGAAAACCCTTTATATATATATAAATATCATATATATATATATATATATCAACCGCAGATAAAGCAGATCCACTCAAACTTAGGCATCCGTTTATCTCGCGTGATAAAGATAGCGCCCTGTCTGGACAAAATTCACTCCATTGGTCGTAAGACTGGAGTAACCTCTCCAACGCGGATACCTGGAATATATATATATATATATATATATATATATATATATATATATATATATATATATATATATAATGTTCTAAATAAAGAGATACTATCAACATAGATTGGAGAAATTACGTACGCATACATGATTACATACAGCCCTAGAAGGACGTCTCTTCTGAAATATTTTTAGACTGGAAATTAACTTATCATCTCTGTAATACCTCAAATGTCCTGTTTCTAATATTATTTTTTTCGTTTTTTCGATATTTAGTTACCTCCATTACATCATCCTCGCGTTTAACGGTTTTTATCCTCCGTTTTTTTCGTTCTATTATTTTTTTATTTTGTTGATTTTTTTCCTTTAAGTTAACCGATAATCTTATTTGTCTAACCACGTTTTTTATTTGGCAACTACAAACTACTTTTTAGTTCGTATTGTAATAATCTTATACATTGACCCAATACACATTAACGGATCAATATCCCCATTAAACTTACTATTAATAACTTTATTTTTTGATATCCATCTACCAACACTTTATATTTTTAATTTATACCCCAATACTATATAATGTTTATAGTCATTTTGAACTTTCAACCCATACACAATGTAGCGTTGCTCCCATGAGACCCAGAAATTAAAAAAATAAAATAAAACGTAGTTGGCAACTTTTTGTACCTGCTAAGTAGCAAAACCATGTCATACTGTAATCGTGGGGTATATGCGCTATTATTATTAATATACATATATATATATATATATATATATATATATATATATATATATATAATATATATATATATATATATATATATATATATATATATATATATATATATAATATAATATATATATAACATATATATATATATATATATAATATATATATATATATATATATATATATATATATATATAATATATATATATATATATATATATATATATATATATATATATATATATATATATATATATATATATATATATATATATATATATATATATATATATATATATATATAAGACCGTTCTCGGAGAAACAGATCTTCTACCAATAAGAACATAATATTAATCCGGTATAGTTCTTTTGAAAGGACGAAACGCGCTCCGTTGATTTTTTTTTTTTCATTTTCTAATGCAGTCAGTAAGTACCGACAAGATCCAAATAAATACAGGGCATTACATTTGGGGCCGACTCGGCTGCAGGAGTTGTCGGAAGATTGTCACTCTCGACAGCTAACCGCCTGACACGTGATACACGCTTAGGCAATCATGTCTCTTTCGATTCACGACTGACTAGGAAGAATATTTGCCCATAGTAGATCGGCGTTTCTTCCTAAGGTAGACCACTCGCAACCCAAGACCAGAGGACACAATTTGTCCTGAAAAACAACCCATATTTTTTGGGGGGTGGTCAAGAGATGCATTCATACCTTTCCCAAGGGTGTTCCCGCGTATGTGAATATAACGAACCCGATTGGAATTTGATTTTTTATTTTGCATTTAGCCAAAGATTAAGCTTAATTCATATTTACATATAAAAATGAACATAAATCGTAAGTGACCCGGTGCCGTGTGAATATCTTTTAAAGCGAGATTTAACAGAGTGATAGCAAAATTAACACAAAAATGAAACTTAGTTCCTGTTTATAAATATTAAGTTTATAACTGTTTTATTTATTTTCTTATTTCAGAAAGTCTATTCTCGTATTGCCCGAATATGCAAGGTAAGCGATTTCTATAATTTCAGTTCTTGACATTTACTGTTCACTAATTTATACCCAGCAGATATGACAGAAAGAAACATCTAATTGACTTTTATAGCTTTTCTAGTAGTTCCAAAATGGCGCCGGTTTTCCCTCTTCATATATAAACAGTCGTGACGGTAATAATTCTACATAATAAGTACATATACACTAGCCACTTAATTAAGTGCACGTGAACAAATGCTCTTATTTGCAAATTTCTAATCAGCCAGTAGACGTGGCAGCCATTTAATGGATATAAGCATTTTAACATGCTAATGGCGACCTGCTAGATCTCATTTAATATATAACTATGAGAAAGAAAAGTCATGTTTCTTTAAATTCTGCATGGTTGTTGGTTTGAGTATTTCCCAAACTCTCCTACAGAAGGGAGCGAAGGAAAGCAAGAAGAAAGGACTAAACATCAACTGCGAGAAAACAGAATGCATGTTTGTTAGCAAAAGAATGGCCCCAAAATGCGAATTGCATATTGGAGATACCAAAATCAAAAAAGTGCGGAAATTGAAATATCTGGGAAGTGTTTTAACAGAGGACGCAAAGTGTGGTATTGAAATCCGAAGGCGTATTGCGATAGCCAAAGATGCATTTCAAAATATTAACAAAACAGAAAATCTTCTCTAGAAACAAGAAAAAGAGGACTAAACTGTTACGTGATATTTGTCCTTCTATGTGGTAGTGAGTGCTGGACAATCTCCTCGCACTTGAAGCAACAGAAATGTGGTTCTACAGAAGGATGCTGACTATGACATGGACCGAACGTGAACAACGACGAAGTTTTAGAGAAAATGGAAACAAAAAGGAAACTATACTTAACATCAGGAAAGGCCAGTTAATGGATTCTGGGGGAACATTATGAGGAAAGAGGGCTTGGAAAATCTGAAACTCACAGCACATATTGAAGGCAGGAGGGTCAGGAAAAAATCTATGTAATACCTAGTGAGATGAAGTAATTTAATAGCGTAACATGGTTTAGGATAAATAATAGAAAGACAAAATTCATTGAGAGCTACAAGGGACAGGAAGTTGTGGAGAGCCATGATCGCTGACATTGTGAGGGGACGCGGCACATAAAGAAGAAAATCTACTGTGATATAGGTGGAAATCATCTGATGCCGGAGTTGAATGGGCTGTTGATAGAAAAACAATAGTAGTTCAAATAATCATTCATTACAATTAGTGAGTTCGATCCTCACCGGGTGTCCAGTACTTTCTGCTTTGGGCCATAACTAGGCTACGCTTAGAAAAGCATGTGCGACACCTCGATGTGGTTTAAGGGTTAGAAAACTCGTACTTCTCAAGTACGACTTAGTGGTGAGTTCGATTTTAACTGGGTGCCCCATACTTTCAGCATTATGCCACAATCTAAGCTATGCTTAGAAAAATCACCATAACAACAGAGGTAAATAGGAGTGTATGAACACCTTGGGACTTGAGGCAGATGGGGTACGGTAGTAGAAAGCCACACCGGTGCATCTCGTCTTAGATAAGAACAAGAAACCAAAGCTATAGTCTGCTAAGAATGACAAAAAACTGAAGAAGTAGAAGATTAGAAAAAAAAAAAAGATCGATTCCATGTTTTATTTCTTCTGCTACATCCAAATCATAGAGGCAGAATTTGGCACAAACATGAAAATAAGCATTCAACTTGCTTTATCTCAACGGTTCAAGACGTTTGTGGTGGTGAAATAAAATCGTAAATATTTTCTTAGCATACATTAGGAGCCTTGGTAACAATAAAAAAATCGTTTATCTACTTGAGATCTTTCACTGCCTTTATTACACGAGCAGGTGTCCTATAAACCCTGAGGGTCGTAGAAGCACCACATATACTGCAGCTATGGCTGCAGTTATGTGTCTTGGTTAAGATACCCTGTTGGAGCATATGACTGCAAGCTGGTTTTTCTTCTATTAGACTAGGCACCAACCAAGGCTAGAGGGCCGTGTTTGCCCTGCTATTTACCCATAGCTGGTGCTGGGAAGGAAGAGAAGGATGCATACCTTTCCCAAAGCCAGTAGCGGATCTACTATCAAATTAATAAAGCTTAAGTTTCAGGGCCGCTAATCCCAGATGGACACCTGAAGAGTGAATTTGTCAACAAAATCGATGTTTTTTTAAGTGTTTGATATTAAAATAAGACTGTTTTCGTGATATAATCATAAGCAATGTAACTAACGTTCGCCTGGGAATTTGGCTAGAGTGTATGGTTTCATTATGCTCCCAGAATCTATTCATAGGCTACATTTTGGCAGTTGGGTCTTCGAATCTATTGTTGCTGGTTGCGATGGCACCCCCGTATTTGTTCAAGATCGACGACCCCCAAAATGTCGGTCTGCGATTTCCCAAGGTATTAACACGGAAATGAACTTGACTGGAATTCGAACTCGGCTCTCTGATTCCTCAGTGCGAAGCAATATCCATCATTCCTCCATGCCTTTTTCATTATCGTCTACGAATTGTTTTAGATTGCCACACGATTCATTTCAAGAATAATACCAAAATGTTTTTTTTTAATTCTTGCGATTTATTTCGTTAGTAGTTTTCGAGTTATAACATGTCTTCTGTGAATGGCTTTTCTCAATCTTTTAATGTTTTCTTTCCTTTTTTTTTCTGTTGTAGACTGACCGTGGGGGTGATAGTCTGTTGTTAGAGAACAACTGGACCACGTTCCTCAAGTCTCGCATTAACTGTTCTCTTGCGGGAGAATTTCCTTTTTATTTTGACGAAATACAAGGCACCTATTATTCACGGGAAGAAAAAAAGATATACGCAGTTTTTGGTACTGGGGTGTAAGTATTTACGAATTCTGGATGTAAGCAAAATCTTTTCGTTTAAATCATATTCTCTCTCTTATATAAAAGTCTGATTTTAGACATATAGGTAATAATCTCCATTGGTTTTAGTTTTTTATTTATTTTTTAAATTATTTTTTAAAATAATTTCAACCCATAATATTCACTAAGACTCAAATGGAGTGATTACTGAATGCTTTAGAGATTATGAACAAATATATTATTAAGGAGAGAGGACAATAAAAGAACATGGATTAAGAAGACAAAAGATAACGCTTGATTGGGAAGTAAGAAGCCGGAATGGAGTTCCACAAGAGAGAAATGTGATAGAAGAAACTATTAGCATAGAACTTACGGTTACATCTAGTAATTTCTACGATAATATGATGAGACTTTGTCACCAATCTAGTTAGTCAGTCAGTTATGTGCATGCGTGATACACGCTTAGGTGTTTTTTTTACTACCCCCTCCATCTGATCTGCTATCCATTTTCAAAAATTTCTTGTTAGATAGATGACACGTTTTCATTTCCCCCCTTTTGTCTTCGATATGTCAGTATCTAATCTTCCAAAACTTCTTTCCTTATTATGTACCCCAGAAATTTCAACTATCAGTCTACTATGTGCCATGCGTGATACACGCTTAGGCGATCATGTATCTTTCGATACATGACTGACAAGGCAGATTTTTTCCCGCAGTAGGTTACCATTTCTTTCTGCGGTAGACCAGTTGCCATCCAAGCTATAGAACCCAGTCTGTCCTGCTATTTACCCATTAAATTCGAACTCGACTCTCCAATTCCTCAATCTGAGCCGCTATCCATTACTCAACCGTCGATTAAACTCAGAAAGTTTAAGTACCATAGTTTAAGTTCCTCAGAACAATTACCGTCAAAAAACAGAAAAGTACATAAAGATACGTTACGTTGGTGGAGAAAATGACTGAAGCCAAGATGTCATAATATTGCAGGTTTTTTGGATTTTATCAAGAATCTCTAAAGATATATAACAGGAACGCCAGAACAGATGTCGCAGTAATATTTAAAGCAATGATGAATAATAGATGTATAAATATGTAAGATAGATTCTAGTGAGAAGAATAATCTTTCACAACACAGTGGATCTTCAGACCTAACAATTGATTCAATATAATCAATCCATGTTAAAACAAAAGAGAAAACCAATACCTCAATTTCCATCTTAATAATATTCTTCGTGATAAGAAGTCAATACCTTTAGCACATCGAAGAGCCATAGTTCGTAAGCTAGTCTTTGAAATTCTGATTAGATAACGAGTTTGATTTATACTTGTGGGAAAGTAGAATTTAAAAAAAAAGATGGAGTATTTAAAGCGTTTCCTTTTAGAGTAATGGTTTACAAGCTATTCTTTAAACATGTAGCGAGTTAGATTTTCATCGCCGGTTTTGTAGAATGAGAAATATTGAGTACTTAAAGCGTCAGCCTTTAAATTGTAACAAGTTAGTTTTAAGCTCTCCCGAGCTAAGAGCGTCCTCGGCGAAACACATCTTTTATAGCTTTTCTATTTTGTCTTCATTATCTTCATTATTCTGTTTTCATTATCTTATAAACAATCATGACGGTAATAATTCTACATATTAAGTACATATACACTCACTAACCACTTAATTAAGTACATATGAACAAACGCTCTTTTTTGAAAATTTTCTAATCAGCCAATGATATGGATATAAGCACTTAAACATGCTAATGGCGACCTGCTAGATCTTATTTTATACATAAGTATGAGAAAAAAAAGTGTTGTCTTTAAATCCTACATGTTCGTTGGTGTCAGGCGATTTGAGTATTTCTCAGGCTCTCCTAAAGAAGGTAGTGAAGGAAAGCAAGAAGAAAGGACTAAACATCAACTGCCAGAAGACAGAATGCATGATTGCTACCAAAATGATGACCCTTTAGTGTAAATTGCATCAATAAGAACATTTTAGTCTGATGAAGTCTATTTGAAGCAGAGAGGATTTTTTCCATTTTCAGTCAGTCACTCCAATGCCATACATGTTTGTGCGATCATGTCTCCTTCGATTCACGACTAAATTTGGTAGGTTGCCATTTATTCCAGCGATAGACTGCCAGCCATTTCTACTGGACCCGGTCTTGACGTGCTATTCAACCCATATCTAGGTGGAGAAGAGACGGATTCTAAAATTAAAGTCTGTCTTGCTATTCAACCCAGATTTTCCAAGCGTAATATGTGCGGAAGTGAATATAGCGTACTATTCCGACTGGAATTCGAACTTGGCTCTCCGACTTTTCATTCCTAGCCGATATCCATTACACCATAACGCACATAGCGAGGTCAAGTTCCCTAATTGCCTTTGTAGGAGAGGAAAAACTGGTATGGTCTCCTTGTAGTGTAATGATTAACAAGTTATCCTTTCCCGTTAAATAGCGATTACAATTCCCATTTGTGGCCTTATAGATTAAGGAAAGCTGAGTATTTAATGTTTCTTTATATGGAGTAATGATTAATAAGCTTACCTAGCAAGCAATTATTGCCGCAGTGAGTTTGATCCTCAGTGAGTGGCTCGTGCTTGTGGTCCCGTAACCATATGCTCTATATTTGCAAAACCCACACCAGACCAGACCAAAAATGAAGTATTGCTAGAACATCTAAGTTGGTACTGACTAATCATAACTTTCTAGCCTTGACAGAGTTAAAAGGTATTTATTGTAAGTCCCTTTTTCTACAGACGAATTACTGCTTGCCTGTCGGTAGGCTATCGCTATTTTCATGGTAGATGTTCAGGTAACCTATATTCCTTAGTCCCATCAGTCCAGACCTTCACTGCTAGGACCCGTTAGTCCACGCACACTGAGTCGACTCATCCTCAATCCTTTCATATTCCATCAGTAAGGAAGAAGTTTTACGCAGATAGTTCCTTCTTTAGAATCATTACATAATAGAACAGAATCAAGGCCCAAGAATCACTCAAGGTAGAGAGAGTTACTGAATTAGGTTGTTATAAGGGCGTAAAACGAGGAAGTAAGAAGTTCATATGTGGATATATAGAATTGATTAATAGGAATAGATAAGTTTTCCTATCCCCCGGTTTACACTCCTCCCCAATGTTTTGACCAGGAGAGAGGATTAAGTTTACGTTTCCTTCTAAAGTCTTTTTCAGTGCTATGCCTCTGACGTTTCCACGTGAACCCTGAATTTCTTATTTACTATTTTTCTTCTCAATAGGAGTAGATAGGTTCGCCTATCGTCCGGTTCGCACTCCTCCCCTTCTTTTGAAAAGAAGTAGAGGTTTATGGCTTATTTCTCTTTTGGACTGGGTTTCCAGCTCCTTCTAAAATTTCCCATTCTCTTTCAATCCCTTGCGTCTCTTTTGGCATTCCCACTTTGCTTGGTGTTAAATTAATTAAAAATACCATAGGAATTTACCCGAGTTTTGAAGATGTTAAGATCTTAGTGATAGGAAATATCTTATCAGGAGACTGTTCTAGAAAGTAACAGTTATTAGAAAGAAGCTGCCTGAGTGACACTTCTTCCTTCCCAATGGAATACGAATAGAACGTGAATCAGTCGACCCTGTGTATGTCACATAGGGTTGACTAAGTGTAAAGGTCTGAACTCGTAGAACTAAGCAATGTAGCTTCTCGAATATTTATCAGAAAAATGGCAGCGAGAGGCTTGTAACTTTTCGTCTATGGTAAAGGTATTGTAGTGGGGGGGATAATTCATCACGCTTTTGAAAATCGTCAAGGCTGGACAGTGAGGAGAGGGCAGAACCAACCCAGGTATGGCAATAGTACTTCATTTTCGGTTTGACCATACTCTTGAGTCAGGTACTTACTACAGCAGTAAAAGGAACTAGCCATTGTTTTACAACATATTTAGCGATGGTTCATCTATAGGGGGTCTGGAGAGAGCCTGAGTCCCAATAAACTTTCAAGGAGGAAAACCTTTTTGAGAGTACAGGCGTTTACCAGTACTGGAGTTAATTCGGGGCTTGCTAAGGTGATTATGAAACAGTATTAGATTGGTTTTAGTTGTATTGAATGATACAAGTCTATTTTCTTTGATTGACGAGTCAAGGCTAGTCAGACTTAAAACGGTCTTGGGTCGGTACAGTTAGCAATCGTTTCCTTTCTTTCCACATCGTAAATTCTGCCAGCATCTTCACCGGGTTTGAAGACCTGTTTAAAATAATGCTTCAGAACCTCAATACTTGAAACGATGTTGTTATAAGTCACAATTCCAGATAACCCAGTCAATCGTTATCTGTTCTCCATATCGTCATAAACTTCACTTCCTACTCTTAAATTCACATCATGTACTTCCTTCATGGTTAGCTAGAGTGTCACGCTAGATCAGTTACGACTGAATAGTGAGTTCGATCCTCACTGGTTGCCCCATATTATCGGCCTTATGCAACATCTGAACTACGCTTAGAAAATCATCATACAACTCATTCAGTAATCCTCTGCTTTGAGTGGCTCTTGAGTCTTGTATTGGATGAAGCTTAGTAAAACAAAACAAAAAAGATAATAAATATCAATAAAATACTTTGATCTAATTTAGGATAGATCGAAAGGTTTTTTTTTTTTTTAAATGGATTGGTAGAGAAAAGTTGGTAATAATTTAATAAAACGAATACAAATATTAACATTTTTTTTTCTTTCTATCGTTCTTTTTTCAGCAACGGCATCCCGGGGTCTGCAGTTTGTGTGTATGCATTAGACACATTCCATAAGTCTTTTACGGGAGCATTCAAATACCAAAAGGACGCTATATCCGCATGGACCCGTATGGAAAACCACAAAGCGGAAGCACAGGTCAGTCGTCGTATAATTGAACACTACCTTAATATGATATTACAGTCCCAGCAATTACCTGACCGGACATTTTAATATATTCTTTATTCTCTAGTTTTTTTTTGTTTTTTTTAAGCGTTTCACCCCAAGCAGGGCGAGAAGCCACTAGGACGCAAGGGGTTACAGAAAATTTGGAGCCAAATCAGATAGGAGTAATAGAAGAAAGGATGAGGAAAAGGATAGTGGATAGATCAAGGCAACTGGAGATATCGATTGACATTACATTTGAATAGCTGGAGATTATAGCTCTCAGGGAAACTAGAATAGGGAAGGGAGTTCCACAGACGAGAGGTGTGAGACATGAAGCTATTAGAGTAGAAGAGACGGCTACATTTAGGAGTTTCGACAGTGAAGGGGTGAGAGCGGGATGCCAGCCTCGTTGGGCGCTTGAACTCGTGAAGTCTGGGAACCAGCGAATGCAGCTCCTCGGAGCAATTGCCATGAAAGTATTTGTAAAACAGACAGAGAGAGGCGACGGCGCGTCTGTGAGAAAGTGTCTGTAGACGAGATGCCAGATCAGGGCCAATTATATTGCATATCCGCCTCTGGAGCCTATCAAGAACCCCAAGGCAAACAGAAGGGGCTCCAGAATATATATGGCAGCTATACTCCATGCAAGGGCGAATTGTTGATTTGTAGATCTGGAGGATCGATTCCGGAGAGAAAAATTTCCCATGAACTATTCAAATGAGTGTCATTATTTTTCTATTTTTATTATACAAAATCTCACTCGATGCATTCATTGGTCTCATGCCTCTATGCTAAAATTGTTTTAAACCTATTTTCCTCTTCCTTTTTTGTCTTTCCCCTATCTGCTCGACACCTTGTGGATTATGGTGCCACAGCTCTTAGCACGCTAAATATTGCTGCTCTTGTTGTGATAGCAAATATTTTACGGAATTAAGTTGCTAGCCCAATGCCCGACTGGCTTCCTTCTCTTACTCGTCAATCACAGCTTAAAAGCGTAGTCTCCCCTACTATTTTAACTATAGGTGGAGATGGGAGAAGTGATTTTTGAAATGTTCACTCCATACAAGGCCCAAGAGACACTCAAGGTAGAAGGTTACTGTCTAAGGTTATATCAGCGTAGGAAAGGACAAGCATTAAGAGTATAGAGCTGAAGAAGGCATTCATAAGAAACCGGAAACCCAATCCCAAGCAGGAAACAGGGGATAAACCTCTACTCCTGTTCAAAACACCGGGTAGGAGTATGAACCTGACGATAAGCAAAAATGCTCCTATTATATGGATTACTTGTGAGGCCGTTCTTTGTGGGGCCTTTCTCTAGTAGGGCAGTTCCTAGTGATGCCATTCTTTCTGGGGCCTTTCACTAGTAGGGAAGTTCCTAGTGAGGCCGTTCTTTGTGGGGCCTTTCTCTAGTAGGGCAGTTCCTAGTGAGGCCGTTCTTTGTGGGGCCTTTCACTAGTAGGGAAGTTCCTAGTGAGGCCGTTCTTTGTGGGGCCTTTTACTAGTAGGGCAGTTCCTAGTGAAGTCGTTCTTTGTGAGGCCTTTCACTAGTAGGGTAGTTCTTAGTGGGGGCCGTTCTTTGTGGGGCTGTTCTGTAGTAGGGCAGTTCCTAGTGGGGCAATTCACTAGTGGGGCAGTTCCTACTGGGCTAGTTCACGAGTGGGGCAGTTGCTAGTGGGGCCGTCCTTAGTGGGACAGTTCACTAATGGGACAGTTCCGAGTGAGGCAATTCACTAGTGTGGCAGTTCCTAGTCGGGTCGTGAAACAGTTGTGAAGGATCCTAGTGGGGCCGTTCACTAGTGGGGCCTGTTCTTAAGGGGGCAAATCACTAGTGGGGCAGTTCACCGTAGGGCAGAAAAGAAAATACTTGTACGCAAACACGAAAAACATAAAACCGAAACAAAAGTACCTTGTCAGACATATTCAACGAAACATGCATTAAAGAATGATTGCTACACAAATACCCATATATATATATATATATATATATATATATATATATATATATATATATATATATATTAATTGATTTAAAATATGGTTTTTTCACTACACAGTTCTAACCATGTTTCAAAAATGGAAGCTAAAAAGCCCTGAATTTAATTTTGTAATTAAAAAAAATTGCTTGAGGATGAAATGGAACTAATGTCTTTAATTTAATTACAAAATTAAATTCGGGGCTTTTTAGCTTCCATTTTTGAAACATGGTTAGAACTGTGTAAAGGGAAAAAACATATTTTAAATCAATTAATTTATAATATTAATGCACTGTAAATTTACATTGAGCAATATTTTGTAAAAATAAAAATATCTATAAGAACACCGGATTATATATCTTACTGTTCTTTCTTATATATATATATATATATATATATATATATATATATATTAGGGGAAAGTAATATGAAAAAGTGAAAAAAGTTTTTGCCATGAAGGACATCATCGGACTAAGATTATGTTTACGTTGATACGACTACACATGCGCACGAACGTGATCGCGAGAGAGAAGAAATTATTTTTAAATTTAAACTTTTCAATGTCTCTTTTCGGATCAAAGTATACAATTTGCCATCAGGCGGATAAGCTTCATTTCATGATTCAGTTGTGTCACTCTCATTAGGCAGAGCTCAACTGAAAATATTACTGAGAGGTACCCGGTCTCGGGAAACAGATGCCCAACGGCATTACTCCTCCTCTTTGTCCTAAAAAGTGGTGGTCGCTAGTAATATCGGATTGCAGGAGCTGGGCGATTTTTGTACCTGGCCCGAGTTGCACGGTCTCGGTGTCCTCACATTAAAATAATCTTATGTTACATCCTTCCAGCGTGGGGGCGCCAAGGAAATACAATCACTTCTCGGCCTTTTGGCTAAGATGAAAGTGTAGTATCTGTTCTTATAAATTTAATCTGATTCTCTCTCTCAACTCCTATTTTACCTTCTTTCTTTCATTTTCTCCCTGAAACCATGTAGTGTCTTTCCCACTATTGCTACCGGATGAAAACAGAATAGCCCATTATGCTATTGGCAAGGCAAAATAATTGTCCTTTTCCTCTCTTTCGTTAGCTTGCACGATTATAATGATCGTGCAAGCTAACGAAAGGGGGAAAAGCACAATTATTTTATGGTAATTCATTTTAATTTAAAACAAATATTCTAAGTATTAAGATAGAAAAAATACGAAAGACTGAAGAAGTGATCACCGAAACGTCGTATGAACAAGAACCACTATACAAAAATATTCGAGCGTCTGAATAATGCTGGATATATTATGTAGATTCCCCTGTTCACAAATATAATTTATTCCACCACAGAAATGCCGGGGATCGAAGAGGTACTACATTCTGATGCTTGATATAAATGCGTTTAATATCGTTCATACAGTCAGTCAATTATGTGTCATGCGTGATACACGCTTAGGCGATCATGTATCTTCCAATACATGACTGACGAGTCAGATTTTTTAGACCAGTTTCCATCCAAGGCTATAGAATCCGGTCTGTCCTGCTATTTACCCATAACTGGTGGGAGAAGAAGAGGATTCATACCTTTCCCAAGGGTATTAGCACATAAGTGAATGTAATGGATTCGAATGGAATTTGAACTCGGCTCTCCGATTCCTTAATCCGAGCCGCTATCCATTACTCCATCATGCCTCCAAAAATGCAGTTAATAGGTTGTATACAAACAGGCAGTTAAGACGGGGAATTCTCAAAGGGCTTGGCTGTTTTCCGTATAGAAAAAACTAGGAATCCCAGGAAAAGAAACGTAACTGTCGGCCATACAAACAAGTAAAATAACAACTGATACTAATGTAATTTCGTTTCATAAACTGGCTTAGTTATTATGTTACCTGTTGAATTCTTTCAGTGCCCGAGCCCAGGAAGCAGCAGCAAACGTTCCTACAGTAATCACATTTCACAAGTGCTTCTCGATGCCCAAAAATACCAAATGATGAATGACGCTGTCCAGCCTATCAGTATCATGCCTGCATTTTATGCTGGAGGACAAAGGTCAGCCTAGGAAAAAATTCGGCATTTTTTTTCACTTTGTCTTTATCGTTGTTTCGTAGTTTACCTGTGTAGCGTGAAAGTCTGACTTTTAACGTGTAGAGTGTTGTGTACTTTGTGTATATATATATATAGCGGTCAATGTACTTTGTGCATTTGTACATATAGCTGTTTGTATTATTTTTTTTTTTTGTTATTTTTTTTTTAATCGATATCATCCCAAGAAAGGCAGTAAAGCCACTAACACGCAAGAGGAAGAATTAAGAACAGAAACATTAGGAGAAATAGAAAAGAGCAATCAGGAGAACCATAGATAAGCGATTGACAGTGCATTTAAATGTTTGCAGATTAATTTTGGTTGGAAAGCATGGTACTGGGAGGGAGTTCCACAAGCGAGAAGTGTGAGAAAAGAAACTGTTAGCATAGAATTTACGGCAACATCTAGCCGGTTCAACTGTAAATTGATGAGATCTCGACGCCAGTCTGGTACTGCGCTTAAATTCAAAAATCTAGGTACTTTAGCGAAGAGATCATCCGAACAAGTACGATGATGTTTCTGTATGATGTAAATTATTTCAGTGAAAAATAATGCTGCGTTTAAATTCATAAAATCTAGGTACCATGGCGACGAATTCATCTGAACAGTTAACATGAAATTAAAAAAAAAGGGCACAGAGTCAATATTAGAGTGGTGGGCAAGTGACTGAAGACGAGCTGCCAGATTATGTCTGATCATATTGCTGTTTCTTCTTTGGATCTTATCAAATAGCTCCAGAAGAATAGGAGGAGCACCGAAGCAGATATGACAGCAATACTCTAAGCATGAACGTATGGTAGACTTATAGATATGCAAGATAGATTTTGGAGAAAAAATTGTCTCACCCGACACAGTGAACCAACTTAGCAGTTGATCTAGCGATGGATTCACTGTAGTCTTTCTAACTCATGTCAGCTGAGAACGTTAGCTCGAGAAGGCATATGGGTGTCACTTTGCGTGGTCTGTTGCAGATTGAGTTTATGTGTGTATGCTGAACCTACATAAACTGTCTCGTAGTCTCTGTGTGTGTGTTGCGTAATGTAGTTATGTGCCCGTATGTGAAGAGTAGATTTTAATTTAAAGTGTAACGTACTGCGTACTTTTATGTTTGTGCGTATGTATTTAGTGTGTAATGTATATTGATTCATTGTACATACTGTAGTATGTGTTTGTATAATGTGTTGCGTCGTGCTTGTGTGTGTACGTAATGCAGTTGTGTACTTGTTTGTAACATGTTGCTTAGTATATATGTATGGCAGTGTAATTTGCGTTTGAAACGTGTTGTGTAGTGCGCATGTTTGTGTGTGTTTTGTGTCGTGAGTGTGTGTGCGCGTATGTATTTTAGTATTTAATTTGTGTGATTGTAAAGTGTAATGCAATTGGTTGGGTGTTGCGTGGTTACATGCGTGTACAATGTGTAATATAGTTTGTATATGTATCGTGTACTTATGAGCGTATTGTATAAATGCAAACACACGCAGAGAGAGACACACACACACATTTTATCCCAGTTATTTTACATTGAGCACTGTTTTATTACCAACACTCACTGTGTGTGCGCGCACGCACACACACACACACACACACACACACATATATATATATATATATATATATATATATATATATATATATATATATATATATATATATATTCAATATTCCTCGTAAAATGCCATGCAGACAATCATATCTCTTCACAGAATTTTCATTATTGTGAATTGACATACATTTTGTGGAGTTGTTTCCGTTGCCTTCTCCACGCTTTGCAGTTCATAGCTTTCTTTCTCTTATGTTGATTGCCACCTAAGACCAAAATGGCTGCGGTGTCTTTAATGACAAATCACATTGATTTTTTTTAAGTAACATGACCCGCCTTATGATGTACTATACGTCATGCGACCCACGGTTCGAAAACGGTTGTCCATGCTTGCTCCCGAGGAAAATCAAATAACGATATTTCTTGTAGATCCCGTTAACAAAACTGTTGACAGTTTGCAACGTTTCCAGCAATGGTGTGGAAGCACAAAGCAATGTCGTCGTTGTCTTTATGTTCAGACATCTTTGTCAATTTCTATCCTTGTCAATAACAAAGAGACACAAAAACCTCAAACAATAGCGACTGAATGTTTTCTCGTATAACAATGGTCGATCACCACCTCAGTGAACTTTATTTAGATGAACTTAACTTCCTCGACGAACTCTCCATGTCCATGGAAGTAAATGTACTTTTTAATATAATTGCACTATGATTCCTTGTATTACGAGCCTTATCTGTTCGTTATTTAAACATCATTTCTAATGTACATGATGAGGAAAGAACGCTCAGAGAATTTAAAACTCACAAGCAAGAGAGGTAGTGACAAACAGCCTAAGAAGTTGGTGTAAATGGATGGCAGAACATGAAGTGCATGGGATAGCAAAGGCAAAAGGATTGCTCACAACTAAAAAGGCTAGGAAGTTGTGGGGAGTCATGATCGGCCACATTATTAATGGACACGCTATATTAAGAGCATTTGTTTGATTTAGTTTGTTTGCTTAACGGTATATCAACTCCTTATGGGTGAAATGGCGAAATTGTTTTTCTTTCCTGTGAGATTTGGTATTTTTGTCTATATTTCTGAAATGAGGTATTGTAACTATTTTCATTGTTCTGACTGTTCGTCCTCACCTTTATTGCCATATTCACGACGTTTTGGCCGCTGTACGCTCCGGCCTTCTTCAGGTGATATGTATTGGAATTTCGAACCGAATTCTTTTAGTCTACTGGGGTAGATTTTCTAGTTCCTCGTGTCATATCTTTTCTGGGTATCTCAGTTTAAGTTAATTCCATTTAGTAACATTAAGACACATGGCCCAGTAGATAAAAGCGTTGGTTGAAGTAATCAAGTGACTTGATCCAAAAAGTTCAGTCCCTGGCCACAGCAGAGGTGAACGAAAACTTGAGAGGTGAACAAAAACGTGAAGAGTTGAGTTACAACTGAAATTCGCTTCGAAATTCCAACATAAATCATCTGAAGACGGCCGCGGCGTACAGCGGCCGAAACGTCGTGAATATGACAGTAATGTTTTGTTTTGTTTTTTTCCTCAAATATGTATTGCTGGGAAATTTTTTTTTCTTGTTACTATGAAAATGTACTGCTAAAGGTAATTTTTTGTATTTTTATATTTTGATCCCAGTTTGGGGCTTCACTATTTGCACATAACTGGGACCCTAAAAGGTAGTACCGCCCCAGGTCAGGGTAGACCTGGGAACAACAGCAATTAAAAGGTGATCTTTAAAATGTCGTTTATCGTCATACCCGGGACGGGATGAAAAACGCCATTTTATTTGTAAAATAAAATGTCACGAAATTTAAAGCAATATTTCTTTTTTACTTATTTTATGGAGTGGATCAAAGCAACCCTTTTAAACCTACTTTTCTGATACTCCCTATAGCTTCCATTTTGACGATGGATTCGGTTACGCGAAGAATCAGTTATCTAGAATGACTATACATTTATAAAAATGCAAACCAGCCCTCAAGATCGGATAACCGACATTCCATTGTACTTTTCGATTGTTTTTAAACCTTGCTTCTTTTTTTTTCCAGGTGGACGCACATTGTGGTCGACACTGTGTATGCACTCAAAGGAAAGTTTTCTGTCGTCTTCGTAGGCACCACTAAGGGGATAATAAAAAAAATGTTGCAAATCCCATCGCAAAATTTAAGTTGCACTCTTGAGGAAATCAAAGTGACTCCTGAAGGGAGAGATATTCCGGTGATGGCAATGGTCAAATCTAAAGAACAGGTGAGTCGTTTACACATAAAATAATTCTCTCATTGACTCAACCGTTTTTATTGAAGTTCACATCAGAACTGTATAGTGATTTTCCAAGCGCAACTCAGATGTGGCACAAGGCCGAAAGTATGGGGCACCCAGTGAGGATCGAATTCACTAATCAGTCGTAATTGTTCTAGCAAGACACGCTTGCTAACCATTGCACTACTTAGAAGTGCCTCACTACAGAACTGTATAGAGTAATGTACAATGTTGATATTTCATGTGGCTTTCCTTAAGCCAGCTAATTACTTCAATACAGGTCCGGTGCCACGGTCTCGTGCCCCTTCCAAATACGAATCAATGGTACCCTCGATTTTATCATAGCGGTCACTGTAGTCTACCACATTTTAATGTTCATAATATAGTATTCATATAAAATACAAATCGGTTTACATACAATAATGGATCAAATGCAATATAGGTGAGCAATTCAACTAGAAAAATCGAAAATAAATAATGCATTTAAATACAAATTAGAGACATGTCATGATAGAACATTCCATCTGAAAAAAAATCAACAATGATTTGCAGCAATATTAACGTCAACTTGATATATTTCTCGTTAAAAAGTTGAAAATTTTTAAAACACATTCAAGACTATGGATAAAAAAAAAGCGAATTTTATATAGCATTTTTTGAGACTTAGCATCGATGAAACACACTCACAGATTTGAACTTAAAAAATAACCCAAAAATGATGTCAAAATCCGTAAAAAATTTTATCCTTTTTTTAAATTGTCAGTTGTGCTTAGTTTAATTTGTAACAATAAATCTAGGTAGGAAAAGATCAATGCTAATAAGATTGCGAGGGTCATTAAGCACTTCTTGGGGTCAACAATCGGCTACAGCACCCCCTCCCCTGCTTCGGTCCGAGGCTGGTTCAGTGGGTAGTACGCGCCGGCCTTGTATATGAGAGAGTGAAACGTAGAATGTGAAGAAATATTGAAATGTATTGACTTCTTGCCGAGAAAGGAAAGAAGTGACTGTACTCAGGATGTTAATTTCATTTTGTATACAATGTGTGACCGTAGTTCAACAGTATTTAGTGAAATAGACATGCAGATTTATACGCAAGCATGTGTGAGTAACACACCCACCCACCCACACACACACGTGAAGGGTGCTGAAAAATTGTTGTCTGATTCGTAATAAAAAATAGATCATTGCGTCCTAATCAATCAACAATGTTTTGCAGCAATTTTAACATCAACTTGAGATTTTTCTTGTTAAAATTTTAAAACACATTCAACATTATGGATAAAAAATAATACATTTTATATCGTGTTTTGTCTACACTTAGCATGAGCAAAACAAATACACGGATTTGAACAAAAAACACCACAGGATGACAAAATCCATAAAAAAATTGTCATCCTTTAATAGTCAATTATGCTGAGTTTAATTTGTGAAGTAGAAGAAATGTTTATAAGGTTGCGAAAGTCACAAAGCACCGCCCGATGGCCCCAATCAGTCGGGGGTTTCGTGTTAGGATTCACTGGCTCTGATTCAATGCCCTTGGGAAATGATATTTAAAGACGTCGAGGAAATTCGTGAGAATGTATTGTAGTTTTATTTTTAGGGAATCAATTCAAATAATTTTTATCAACCCACCTCTATGTATGTATATATAATGGACCCTCCCCACTCGGTTTTGACGTATGAGGATCTGACAGCTTATTGATTCAGTTATGAAAGTTTGTGCGATAATCTTAAGTGCCATTTAAGACTCTCTAATGATTTGCAAAGGAGGCCACATATGGAGCAAGAGTGAGAATTGTGGGATGAGGTCACTGTTAGATTGGCTGACCTTTTAGATCTTGCTCTCGCTTCTTGAAGACGATTCAAACTAGCAGATTGAAAACTGCTGAGTCCACTAAAGCATGTTGATCTCTACTCTACTCGCTCCAAGTCTAAGAGCTCGAGAATGATGTTATGATATATATATATATATATATATATATGATTAATTTGAGTAAAGTTTATCACTTGCTGAGTAAAGTTACCTTCATCATCCCTACTCCAGAGTTTCGTAGGCAGACTTGTCCGTCCACTCCTCAGGAGTGGGTTGATAAAAAATTATCAGAACTGTTGCTATAAAAGCAAAACTACAATGCATTCTCTTGAATTTCTTTGACGTCTTGAAATCTTTTTCCTATCAATTTCGATTCGGATCTGGGAAATATATTTGTTGTCGGGCCTGTGGAAAAAACTACTGCACAAACCATGGTCACTGGTGGAACCTCTGTAGTGTGTTAGGACGGCCTCACTCTACACACATTCCTTCCAGGTACTGCTAATAAACTACAGAAGCGAGTGAGAACGTTATAACTTTGTCTTTATATGCGACAGAGTTAAAGGTATTAAACAATAATATCACATTAAAGAAATCCATTTTAGATTTAATTACATTATTTGCTTCGGACTGTTATCCTCATCTTCATTGCTATATATCTTCGTTGTATGCTCCGACCTTCTTCGGGTGACTGGAATCTCGAACCGAACGCTTTATTTAATTCACCGGGCTAGATTGTTCTAGTTGCACGTGCCATGCCTCTTCCGGATGTCCAAATTATTTCCCTTTAACACTACTCTTTGTATACTGGACGAAATAAAGGGTTCGGTTTGAAATTCCAATCATGTGAAGAAGGCCAGAGCGTACAACGGCCGAAACGTTGTGAATATGGCATAGAAGATGAGTATAACAGTCGGAATAATGCAAATAATCTAAATAATCATAATACCTCATCTCTGAGATATAGACAGATTTTAGATTGTTTTTCTTTTTAATGCAGAGAGCTGTGTATGTTGGCGTATCACCATACGTTTTCAAAATTCCGTTTGAAAGATGCCATCGACTGAAAACAAAAAGGTAAGTATTGATTTCTATTACCTCTTCCTTAAATATCCAGCCAACGCCCAGTAAAATCCAAACAGATGCACACACACACACAATGTCTTTATATAGTGATTTTCTAAGCGTAGCTTAGATGCGGCACAGAGCCGAAAGTATGGGACCCCCAGTGAGGATCGAACTCTCTACTCAGCCTTAATTTTTTAAGCGATACAACCTTGCTAACCATTAGACCACGTCAAGGTGCCCCAACCCCTTTTATATATACTTCTACACATATCCGCAAACACCTTTGTGAAATTTACGAATCCATTTAATTCCCTCAACTATGGTTGTAGGTTTTGTATCGGGAAAAATCATTGATATTACCAAAAGATTGTTAATATAATATTCATTAGTAAAAAATATTATTCTTACAATCCAAAATATGTTTCAGCTTTAAATAATCTACAAAGGGTTGATAAGACGTAAAAAAAATCAACCGAATCAATATATACTTTTACAAATAATAAGCACGTTCTAGGACACTTGGACGTGTCATAATAGTTAGCAAACATGTCTCGCTGCATCAATGAGTCAAGAGTAGTGAATTCTGTATACTTACAGCCGTGTGACACATCTAAGCTACGCTTAGCAAGTCACTTACGGAACGTTGACGAGGTATAATGGTTAGCAAGCACATCTTAGAGTAGTGAGTACAATGTCCCTGTGTGTTCGATACTTGAGGCTTTGTGTAACATATAAGGTACGCTTTTTTAATCACCAGAATAACACTTTTCTCTTACCCAATAACCACAGACTCTTTCTGATTTTCGGTACGTTTACATTATACACTAGCAGCATGGCCCGGCGTTGACCGTGCTTGATTCAAAAATCGTACGACTCATACAGCAATCGCTATCACTTGACTTAAAATATTTTTGCCCTTCCTTGACTTTAAACGAGTGCCCTTTGCCGTGCTGATATTGCTACATCCCTTACTTCTTGCCTATCTCACACTGCGAATTTTTTCGAAGGTCTATACTAAACATTAAATCTGTTACGAAAAAAGAACTAAACAAAATGAACACAAAACGATCAGCTTTAAAAAAGGACTCGTAACTGGAAAAACCGAATGAAAAAAGAATGTTAACAACAAATACTTTTTCACGCCCAACCCAGTTCTGCGGAATCAGAATCAACGTTGAGTTTAAGCAAGCGAATGAGCCAATTGGAGTAAAATGCCCAGCAGATTTAAATTTTTCCCACTTGTGACGAATGCAGCTATCGATTTTTTTTTTGCATGCTAGCATGCTAGTTAACATTCGTGTCAGTCAGCTGTTAGCTCTAACGCTGGGGAATAGAATCTTGCTGCCTATTCGTGGCAGCCAGCTATAGGCTCTCACTCTGGCCAGTAGAAAATGGCCGCAAACTACATGAAAACTGCCGTAGAAGCATGAAAAAATCGATTATTTCCACTATCGATGGGTGTTTGCCATAATTCCTAACCAATAACATTTTCTTTCTTCCTAATTTTCAATACATTTTTTAATTTTCAATTCATTTTTAATTTTTAATACATTTTTTAATTTTGTTAATCCCAGTTTTTTTATTTTATTTTATTTTAATTGTTTTGTTATATTTCTTTGTAGCATGTGCCTACAGGCAAGAGATCCTTATTGTGCTTGGAATACTATAAATAAAACTTGTGCCAGTCCACCAAGAAATGAACTTGGAGCTCATTATTGGCTTCAAGACATTACGTCATGTCCGGTTCTGGAAACACCAGGTAAGTCATTCTTGATATTTTCTCACTGTTTCGTGAATTTCAGTAACTAATTACGAACATTGTTTATTGTAATTTCCTGCAGTCTACTAGTAGCATTTTTAACCGTAAGTGCAACGGCGATACGGCAATTTCAGTAGTAAGTCATCGCTTTCCCAACTGACAAAATGCCTCCGTATACGCAGTACTATGTTCACAAGCGTCTCTGTTTATTTTCTCTCGGGTGTTGTTTTTATGCCGAGCTGATCTCGCAAAAAAATTCCATATGCTCAACCACTCTCACCAATTCTCCTAGCTCGGAGCCCGTGTCTTTCTTAAATTAGGGGTGTTAGGGCGGCCATATTTCTTTTTCATTTCCTTCACTCGTCTGGCACGCCAGGCATATACGTGCTCAATTTGCCACACGAGGCAAGTCATCTTCTCTTCTATAATAAAATGTACCTCCCAACGGGTGTCAAGTCGGTATTTTATTTTTCCATCAGGGAAACTGCCCCCAAAGCGTGATGTTACCAATTTGGGCACGAGTGAACATTATGACGAAACCTCTTTAAGGAACACATATCTGTCGTTGGGTCTTCCACGAATCCATATCTGAAAGTTTCATTTTCGTAATCGAGACGTAAGTGATTGTTAAATGAATTTAACGGAATATATGCATTCCTTAAATAGGCTCTATCATGACGGTCTCTCTTGGTCAAATTGGTAACGGAACGCTTCGGTTATAGCAGTGATTTCCTTCATGGAAAAGGGAGATACAGATTTGAAATATGTCGGGAGGCACATTTTACTTTAGTAAAAATTATCGGTCTAGGCCGGTTGATATTATGTTCATTGTCTAAGGTTGTTAGCTCGATGTCCAGATTGAAGAGCCTTACAAAGCACAGGCCACCTTACTATTTATCCATAGCTAACGGGAGCAGTATATTCATGCTTTACCGATGGACTTCGTGCGAACTAAACGTAAAGAGTATGATCTTGATGCGCCGATTTTAATTTCCTATTTAATAATTACTCCGATAGCATTTCCCAAAATAAAGAAACTTCTACTCATTGACCCACCTTCAAGCCCAGAAATAATCATTCTTCGGCCGATATATTCTCCATCCTTCCAAAGCTATCTATCGCTGTTTACTCCCGTATACCCTCTACTGAACAAATAGAAACAAGCACCCCAAGAAATGTGCTGTGTTTTCAGTAAGTGATTTTTTATGGGGTTTAGTTGTTCTGCTGACGACCAACTTAAACTGACTTAGAAGGAAAAAAAAGAAGAATATTATTCTCATAGGGATTAGGAGTTTATGCTTTGGCAAAAGAGATAAATGAATGAAAACGTTTTCTGTCATAATTTTAACTACGACGGATTTTAAGCTACGACGCCGCCGTCTTCTCTTTGCCAATATTGGGCGCCGAGACGTGGCTTCTCAACAAGACTCTCGTCTTCCGCATCCATGGCTTCGAGAATCCCGTGCTCTCAGGATAATGAAGTGCATGAACTGATCCGATCTGTTGCCCATTGATGAGCTCTGCCGGAGGGCCGACCAATCCAATATCCCCCGCACTATTCTTCACCACCAAGTTCGCTGGATGAGTCACGTCCCGCGACGACCTGAAGGAAACCCTCCAAGAGTCATCTAACAGTTCGAAACGCCATCTGAAGACTCGAGACGACCTCAGGGCAGACCAGGTAGCTACTGGAAGAACGTTGTCCACCAGGACTTCCAACAGATTAATCTGGATGTTCCGATGCTCTGCAAAGACCGTGAGAGCCGGAGGGACAAGGTGGCTCTTGTGGGCCCAATACCTTCATGGCACCAGATTTAGAAGAAGCAGAACTGTACTCACATGTCTAATTACAAACCTAGTCTCTTTATATCCTTTATCTTTAACTCCAATCACTTTCTTCCTTTTCTTCTCTTTCGGAGTCCTAATATAGGGTCATAGAGGAGTCGCACTTGTCCGATTTTGTACCCAAATGAGAAGCTTCGTCGGAGGACATGCCAGCCGAGCAATCTCACACACCAACGCTCAGCCCAGTAATCGCTTGCACAGTCACATTCCGCGACGACGTGATGACCATCGTACCAGAGTCATCTACCAGTTGACGTGCCATCTGCAGACTTGAGACGACCTCGCGGCAGACCACGCAGCCACTGAAAGGATGTCGACAGCCAGAAGCTCCAGTAGATTAATCTGACGCTGGAGGGTGTTCCGACGCTTTGCCAAGTTCATGAGAGCCAGAGGGATAATCTGGAGCCCATGGGCTGAAGGTGGATCTCATGTATTTAGCAGCAGGATGAGCAGAATAGGCTATCCACATATCCAATTACAAACCTAGTCTCTTCATATCCTCGATCGTTAAATTCAATCACTTTCTTCTTTTTCTTCTCTTTCGGAGAACTCACATAGTTTTTGTGACATTTTAATTAATTCTTGAATTAATTTGCATCTTCTTTTTAATCATGTCACCTCATGCAAAGCAGTAAAGCCACTAAGACACAAGAGATTACAGAGTGTGGAAAAACAAGTAAAAAAAAAAGAGGCATTTGAGAGCAAGAAAATACAAGTAATCAAAACACTATATAGAGATTGACAAGGCATTTAAATTTTTCCATATCGAAATTAGATGGAAAGCATGAAGCTGGAAGCGAGTTCCACAAACGAAAATTGGGAGAAAAGCCAATCCAGCTGGGAATTGATGAGACCTTTCCGCCAATCTAGTACTGCGGTTAAACTCATTATGTCTAGGTACCATAGCGAAGAATTAATCTGAACAATTACGATTAAACTATTTATAGAAAAGGCACAGGGTAGTTACATTACGACGTTAGGAAAGTGACTGAATCTGGGATGCCAGGTCAGCACTAATAATATTACTGATTTTTCTCTGGATTTTTATCAAGAATCTCTAAATATATTGCAAGAGCCCCGGACAATATGTGGCAGCAAGAGTCTAAGTATGGACCCATGCTAAACTTATAAATATGCAAGTAGATTATAGAGAGACAAATTGTCTAGCATGACACAATGACCCAACTTTTTTCGCAGCAGACCTAGCAATGGATTCAATATAACCTTTCCCCTTCATATCAACCGAGAATCTTAGCCGGAGAAGGCACAGCAAGTCACTCTTATGGAGGTTATTATCAGCCATGCAGCCATGCATCCAGAGGTCTTTCAGGAGGTTGATAGAGAGAAGTTTCTTTCTGGAGGCGTTAAAATTAACAAGCTATTCCTTGCCCCAGTTAATAACAAATTGTATGTCATTTTGAGATCAGTTGCCAATTTGAACTGATCGCTCTTACTACTGAGACAGGAGTAAAATCTTAGTATTAATCTGTGTCTTTTTATTCTGTTTTCAGTGGACGGCAAATGGTCAGCGTGGTCAGAATGGACACAATGCAAACTAATGGGAACTGACCGACTGGGAGATGACTGCTGGTGCAGAACCAGGGTATGTGACAATCCTAAGCCGCGACTTGGTGGTAAGGACTGCATGGGAGACACGGTTGAAGTAACAAATTGTACCAGTAAGTATACCTTCACTTTTATTTTGACTGGATTCTCATCGAAATTCGATTTCAGCATTAAAAGAAATATCGGATCTATTCAAAGAGCACCTTCATCTTAAAAATAAGCCCAGTCATTTTAAAACCAATCTCTTCTCGGTTGGTACGAAACTGTCCTGGAATAAAATGTTCTGGGACTCCAAAGTCCCAGAACATTTTATTCTTTTTTTATTTTCTTTGATTTCTGGCGTTTACACATTTCTTTCCGGGTCCCGCCCAAGGACCTAAGGTTAGAAATGGCATCATGACACTTTTCACTGACAAAAAAAAAAAAATTACATAGATAAAGCCCTTCGTAAAGTGTGGGCTGTACTTGTCAGAACAATTTTTTGTATCTCCTTGAGGCATGGACTTCCAGGAATCTCTTCAATTAGTCTACTGCAATCTTTTCCAACCAATCCTAGGGCTCCAACTACAACTGGGATTGTTGATGTTCCCATATGCCATATTTTCGAGATTTCTATTTCAAGGTCCTTGTATTTTGACAGTTTTTTGAAGATCTTCAAAGATACATTGCAGTCAGCAGGGACTGCCATATCAATAAGGAGACACTTTTTTGTTTGTGGTCTTTAATAACAATATCAGGGCGGTTGGCTTTGATTGTTCTGTCAGTGTGTATTGTGTAGTCCCATAGAATTGTAACAGGTCCTATCTCCGTAACCGGGTCTGGGTGGTGTTCATACCATTTTCTTTCAGTTTCCTTCCCGTAGAAGTTGCAGATTTTCCAGTGCAGATATAGGCCCGCTCTGTCATGCCGGGTTTTATATTCAGTGGGTGCCAATATCGTGCAACCTGATACAAGATGATCAATCGTTTCTGGATATTTATCACAGAATCTGCATTTTGGGCTGACACAATATTTTTGTATATTTATTATTATTATTATTATTATTATTATTATTATTTGTGTATGTTTTGTATCCTGTAGAGTCGACTCCAAACTATGGCCCTTAGACTCTATAGGAGAATTGTCATTTAATTGATAGCACTTTTCTTAGTATATGTGATGTTACTAGTAGAGCGACCTTTTGGGTAACTTATATGTTGATATTACCTGGGACACTGTTAGTAAAATTGACCATTGTTTTTCTCACGAGACCCAGACCTCCAATTACTATTAGTACAGTTTCAGTCTTCATTCCCCACATCCTTTTAATCGCAATCTCCATGTTCTTATATTTGGACAATTTCTCGATAATTTTCATTTTTTAAAATCTCAACTGGTACTGCTATATCAATAAGCATACAGTTCCTGAATTTCTTGTCTTTTATGATATCAGGTGTGTTGGTTGTCAGCTTGAATTGGCATATCCCAGATATCTCAACATTTTTGTTGTTGTTTTTGTGTTCCCTTTGTGACAGTTTGCTCTATTCACTAATAAATGAGGCTTACGAGTTATTTCATGACGATTCCATATCTATTATTCTTGCTTTTCATCGCTAATCTTCTTTAATCTATCGGTCGAAAATTATGTCAACCGAGAGTATTTTGATGAAAAGAAGCAATTATAGAATCGAATAAACTACTACTACTACTATAATAATAATATTAACTACTATTACTACTAATAATAAACTACTACTACTAATAATAATAATAATATTAACTACAAATACTGGTGAAAACTTCGCAGTTTTCCGATTTTAATTTCATGAATCTTAATTTATTAAAGTAATGACAGACTAAGCTCCCGACAATAAAATATCCGTAGAAATTCCCTTGTCGCGTCGTTAAATATTTAACAACTTTGGCAAAATATTACAATAACAGTCATAAGTATGAATGCTGGTCGAAATTTTAAGAAGTAAGGGGGTACAAATGTAAAGCTCTGAAACTGACACCTTTTTTCATTTCACCGAAACAGACATTAAACACGTCTGCCTTTCTTTCTTTTTTTCATCCTTTCTTTCTTTTTCTCACTGAAAGAGCATCTCTGATATGTCTTTTCCCTCTTTCCACGCGATCAAAACGTAGTAGTACATTATTTGTGAGTTATTGAAAGGAGACGTTAAAAGCTTTTATCTTCCCTTCTTTCTATCTAACTCTTTCTAACTGAAACCAAGTAGCGTCTCTGATATATCTTTTCCGTCTTTCCAAGCGATCAAAAAGGAAGAATCCACTACTTTATGAGGTATTGGTACGGGGTAACGCTTGTGCTAAGGTAAGGACAACCACGTCAATTGTAACGTGAATAAAACAGAATATATCACAACCTCCCCTGAACCATCCATAATACATCCGTCAAAATGGAGTTAAGGAAATCAAATATCTTGGATCTCACATAACAGATTTCCAAAAAGATTTCAATATCCGCAAAGCTCTTGCATGGGATGCGTGTAACAAACTTCACAAGATTTGACGCTCGAACCTTCCACCTTCCAAACCTTTCGAATATTGATTGAACCAGTCCTACTGTATGGATCAGAAGCTTGGACATTATCTGTTCTCTTCAAAGACGGCTGGATTGGAAGGTATCCAAATCTACTTAGAAAAATCCAGAACAACAGTTGGAGATCCCATGCAACACTTAACAGAATTTACGGAGAATTGAGACTAATATCTTTTAAGCTGAAACAAAAACGATTAGAGTTTGCCGGCCACTGCCACCGAGCGGACAGGGATATCGTCCGATCCTTAAGCCAATTGTATCCTTCTGGAAGTGTCTTCTCACGAACATTGACTTTCCCAGTCGCCATAGCTCGGGACTCAGGTGTGGGCAGTGTGGATCTGTGGACAGGACCGAATAGTGTCAAAAGCGATTGTCATTGGAGCTCCGACCAACCATAGGGAGGTCGAAGGATAATGATGATGAAGGGAGGAATAATAATAATAATAATAATAATAATAATATTAAAATGTGGCACATGGGAACATCAACAATCCCTGTTGTAGTTGGAGCCCTAGGACTGGTTGGAAAAGATTGCAGTAGACTAATTGAAGGGATTCCTGGAAGTCCATGCCTCAAGGAGATACAAAAAATTGTTCTGACAAGTACAGCCCACACTTTACGAAGGGCTTTATCTATGTAATATATTTTTTTTTTTTTGTCAGTGGAAAGTGTTATGATGCCATTTCTAACCGGGACCCGGAAAGATATGTGTAAACGCCATAAATCAAAGAAAATAAAAAAAAATAATAATAATTGCCGGGTGTGCAGTAATAAAGGAAGAACAATGTGACATATTGCCAGTAAATACCCAAAGATGGCCCAGAAAGAATACAGAAGCATATAATGCTTTAAGTATGGAATGGATACGGTAGGAACGTGGTATGGACTAACTCCAGACGTGGCATTGTAAATGACTAGCGCAAAGCATTGTAGGATGTCATGAACCAGGTTTTGAAGAAATGCATAGAAAACCAGACATTCTGATGGAGATAAAGAAGAACATACAACATCAGAGAAACTGCATGTCCCGAATTCTATAGTCGAATTGACTAAGAAGGATAACAGGAAAACTATGACAGTTTAAAATATGGAAAATATACGAATTGTGATTAATGAATAGAATGAACATCATCCCTTTTGCTGTTAGTTTTCTGAACGCCATAAGTACTGAACTTCTGAATTGGCGGGAAAGGTTGGGATCAGTGTCAACATTTGAACAGTTGCCGGAGTTGGTACTGCTCGGATACTCTGAATAATTCTCGAATTATTATAGAACCCAGTCCACTGTCTGTGAATAGCTGGTATTTGGCAGGGTTTGAAGATCTAACAACAATTAATACATTAAGGGTTGACATAAATAAAGCAAGATAGAGGAAACCAAGCAGTAAAATAAAACTAATAATGATGAGTGTATCGGCCCATAAAGAACGTAGAGTTCGGCCCTGAATGTTGTGTTAAAACACAAAGAGTTGTAATAACAAAATGACATACATGCTTTTCATGTTCATACTAGTACTCCTGTTATATATCTCGAGATTTTTGACAAAATCCAAACAAGGATCTGTAATGTCATCGGTCCTGACGAGGTGTCCCGATTGCATCCACTTTCTCACCGACGTGACATTCCTTCCATCTGTCTTTTCTACAAATATTATCAGGGCAACTGCTCTAACGAGCTTTTTCCCCCTAGTGCCCCGACTGTACGAATTTAAGCGTGCTACTAGATTGGCAAATATATCCCACCGTTTTACTGTTGAAATAACGAAATGCATCCGCCACTTCAAAAGTTTCTTTTCTCACCCTTCCCTCCTGTGGAACTCCCTTCCGTTTACTTGCCTCCCTGATGACTATAATCATCAAAAATATAAATGCAAAGTCAATCGCCATCTTCTGTCTTCTTGAATCCCGTTCATCTCTTGTCCTTTCCTCAATCTTCTTTCTATTCAGCTTTCTCTTTCACTTTCACTCCTTGTAATTTCCGCCTTGCTTTTTATAAAATGACTAGCAGTAGAGCCCGGCGTTGCCCGGGGATGTAACAGTAAGAGATAGATCAAGTATCGACCATCATAAAGACTGAAAAATAAAATTGACAAAGATTATTGTTTAAGGTTGACGGACACGTATGTCTTAATTAGTGTGTTTTTTTTTTTTTTTTACGAATTGGTCATTGTTTTCAATCGTTATGAGACTACCGATTGAATAGAATTTTATTATAAACAATTGTCTTGTAAATGGAATTTTTAAAGTATTCTGAGTGTAAAAATAAAGAAAAAAGTGTGCAAGACAATAAGAAACACTACCTGCCAAAAATAAAAGTGAAGTTTTGTTGAAATCGGTTGAAAAATATAGGAAATCCGATCCCATATATAAACGAACACACACACACACACACACACACACACACACACACACACACACACACACACACACACACACAACCTGGGTTTAAAAATTGCGTACAAAATATTTAGATTTCGGTATTAATATCCCATAGATGTTGATATGTCACCAAACAAAATCAACCAACCATGCAGCCATCATGAAAGATATTAGTT